AGAACAACTTCACATCCTTGCCGTTCACATCCTTTGCTCATATAAATCTAATTTTGAGTTATTCCATGCATTGACTTCCTTTATTTGTCATGGTTCTGGAGCCAAGTCAAAACATTGTGGGGGCTCGTCCAGGATTTGAACTCTGGACCTCAGGAGTCCAGTTATAAGTTGGAAAGACCACATGACCATCGCAGTTGATCAACGCTCCAGATGTACTGGGTGAGTGTGACTGCTGGAGTTTCAACAGAAAACAGTAACTTTCTTGCTGCGATGCCACAGTGAGCACCATCTTATAGTCTGGTTAGCTCCAGTAGCACCTGCCAGTGAGTAACATTAGAATCCCAACATTAAAATATGTTTGGAATCTTTGAAGAGCACAAATTTATACTAAAGTGGAATATTTGATTGGCTACATAAAGGATCTATTACGGAAAATTTACATTTTGCTCATTTTTGTCCATCTGTTTTGGGTCTCTATTGCTTTTAGATAATAATAAAATAATAATAAATGATAATAATAAAATCATGAGGTTCCAACTGCCCACACAGTGCTGAAAAAATAAAACAAATGCATAAATCAAAGTCGCGACAATTTTGGATTCTGAAAGGGAGTTGAGGATAGTTGTTTGAAAAGGTTTTGCTGCCATCTGCTGACACAAACCCTCAAACATCAGGATGTGTGCTGACATGGAAGTATTTGACCCATTACTGATTTCTTGTGTGCTTTTGCTTTTTGTCACCCTTACATGCTTCAGGTCATCAAGGATAATGTTAATATCAGACATAAATTAGCAGAGTAAAAGGAATAAGCAGCTTTCAAATTATAGTTTTATTTATTAAAGTAAAAGCCAGTTTGCTTTGCTGGCAGCTACTGACATTACGGATGTGTGAGACCCTCAGTCTGTCTGTCTTTTCTAAAACATAAAAATATATTCTATGGCAAATTGAATTGAAGCACAGCATTATATGTTATCTTCTATAGATCTCTTACAAAAGCAATACTGGTAATGATTACTCTTTCCTGAGTGCAGAATTCAGGCAAACAGAGTCCAGAGTTAGAAATATCTTCCTCTTGTCAAATGAAGGGCGTGGCAGAGTGTACAGGAAACGGTTCCATGATGTAGCAGAAGTAGCTGGAGAGACGACAAAAAAAAACACAAAAAAGCTTCATTAAGTGGAGCCTTCAACCATTCAAAGATAATAGCACCCAGTCTGGCATCTATAAAGCAGACATTTTATAGCAGGAGATGAAAACGCCACCATCCCCCTACCCTCATTTTCACACCCCTGCTGGGCTTTAGGATCTGAACACCTGTTTCACCGAGGAGCTGCAAACAGACATGTTCCACTGCTTTGTTCACGCAAAACAAACACGCACTGATACAGAGCATTTCTGGGACCTTCTAGGTGTTTATATTTATACACGCAACATTCGACATTGGTACCGATGAATGGAAATTGTTCTTTTTTAAAATTATTTCATTTTCAGTAATGTGAATCCCATGGCCTGTTTTTTTTTTTTTTTAAACCATTTCACTGACATGGGATTAATTTGATGTTTCTGGAAGTTTTTGATTTGGAGTTATCAGAAGTCTACCTGTTTTCAATGCTACTCCACATGATTCTGAACGCGGTTGTATGGAAAATGCTTCAGGGGGAAAAACTGCATTTTGTCCTTTTAAAATTTCTCAAAAATGGGACCAAACTGCATATTGTAAGAAATATGCAGTTTTTATTTTGTCACCTCCGTCACAAAATAAAGAAATATACACTCATTGGTGTCAAACAAATTCTTAAGATCTGGTGTGCAATCTTCTCTATACTAGCATATATTTTTTTTCATCTGATCTTTAATTTCTTTGGTAAATAAAGTGTTTGTTTTTGATAGTTGCTCACCTGCTTCCTGTTTTTAGGCAGATTCCTCATGTTAATTCTATTCAGGTCTGACTCTTGAGATCAGCTGTGGTTAATCTCAATGGCAGTGGTGCCACACCACCAATCTGTCATCAAGAATCAATGATAGATCTTGATGATGCTCATTATTTTTTTTTGGAGAATACAATTTGACACTAAGCCTAATATCAATTCAGGAGACGTCCCGTACTTCTGGTACCAAACAAAAAACACAAAACCCTAAAAAGTACTTTTACATTTCCTTTATTTAAGTAACTCCGGTTAATGAGTGATTCGCCTGAACTTCTGAAATATTTTTAGTGCATCTTCATTCATCTTATTAGTAGCTGTAGAGCATGTTGATCCTTCAGACAATCTATCTATCTATCTATCTATCTATCTATCTATCTATCTATCTATCTATCTATCTATCTATCTATCTATCTATCTATCTATCTATCTATCTATCTATCTATCTATCTATCTATCTATCTATCTATCTATCTATCTATCTATCTATCTATCTATCTATCTATCTATCTATCTATCTATCTATCTATCTATCTATCTATCTATCTATCTATCTATCTATCTATCTATCTATCTATCTATCTATCTATCTATCTATCTATCTATATATACATATATACATACATATCTACATATCTATATATCTATATATCTATATATAGATATATATATATATATAAACATTTCACAGAAAAGCAAACATCCAGTCTTCTGTATTCGGGGAAGCGACGTTACTTATCTTCTTCATCCGCGTTTGATTATTTTTCCTGAGCACAAATGCATCATGACCCTCTTCTTCCCAGTGGACCTTGTGATTAAGAGGCGTCCCAAAATAATGTCCTCAGTGGACTTGCTCTGCATCAGCAGGCACTGCGCTGGAGCCTAAATCGCAGGAACAATTCAGAGAGACGCAATGAGAAATGGACGCCCTGTCTGCTGAGTCCACACTTCACCTGATGGATCGTCCCTCCCTCAGATGCTATTGAATCAGTCCTGATGGGGCATCTTAATTGTTTGAGGATTGTTGGCAGGATTGCTGCACAATGGTGATGATATTTGATCTCGGCACTCATAAAAACGTGATCATTTTAGGTATTTTTTAAAATTAGTTTTACTTTATTATTACTCCATATTTTTATTTCTACTTTTTGACAAACAGTAGGCTGTTCATTTATTTATTTCAAGTGGATTCGTAAAGTTTTTAGATAAAAACAAAAAGTCAACACAATGTAGTTTACACAACCTGCTATCTTTGCACTAAACCAGGCCTATATGTCAACAAAGCATAAAGCTCATATATAGACCTTACTTAAGTTATAAAAGTTATACACCTAAGAGGTATTAGAAAAGGGACAAGAAATTATTTGGTTGTCCAAGGTCAACAGCTGATTCATTGTGTATTTCTTCAATTTGTTGTGATTAGTTGATGCATTTGAAAGCAAAATAATTGCCAGTTGGATATAATCACAGGGTTTCCAATGAGTCAGAGAAAAAAAAAATGAATAAATGTGTGAAGTTTTGAGTGAATAAACACTTCAAAAACTCAAAATCTTACCAAGTATTTTTGGTCCTCCTTCCTGGAGCAACTAGATGAGTTCACTTCAAATAAAACAAAACTAACTTGCAATGAACTTTGCAGCAAGATACTGTAGCTTGTTTTTAAGCCAATAATCATTTAATACTCACAAAAACTAGCTTGTTTCAGTAGCAGGGTATTTCACTTGTAACAAGACTTTTTTTTTCTCACCATGTTGTGAATGAAATAATTTCATGAGTGATAAACGCAGGAGAAGCTCAGTGATTCAGCGTACGAGTCGGTTGGAAGTGAGGGAGCAACAGCACCCCCTTGTGGATGTTGTGAAAAACATGTTGAAAGTGTGCAACAAAAATAAAGAAATGGATAAAAGGGGGGAGGGGGAAGCTTAGCCAATATTCTGTATACTTATACAAACTATTTGATACACAGATTGTCAAAAATAAATAAATAAATAAATAATTTCCCCATCAATTTTGTTTGTGCAATGAAAAGAACTGTAGAGACACATAGATCTACAGATTTCCTGCTTACTGCATTATGAGAGATAATTTTTAAGAATGCATTATGAATGCATGGAAAACCTTTAGTGGCCGGGAAAATCTGCTGGTTCTGATTTTGATGTTGACGTGTTTTTGATAACAAACAGCGGGTGTTTTTTTGTGTTTAAGCCTGTGATTAAAAAAAAAGTTAGGAAAATAAATCATATGACTTACATCCAAGTAGCCCACTAGGGGGCACCAGGTCTTCTTTCTGCATGAAAGCCACAGTCAGCTGGTCCCTCGTTCAGGCATCAATTCATTTCAATTCAGGTTACTTATATAGCACCAATTCATAACACACGTCACGTCAAGGCACTTCACAAAATAAATAAATAAATAAATAACTGACGCCATTGACGACCACTGCAGGGCTGAAGAAATCAAAGTAAGTACCATAATGCTTCCAGAGGTTCTAGGAGCAAACACATGTGAATAATTGAAACAAACATATCGAACACAGAATATCGCAAATCGGAATCGAAGATGGAGACGACGTTTACAACTGCCAATAAAGCAATATAAAGTTACATGACTCAACATTATATTGAGTCGCATAATGCTCGTCACCTTATGTGACTCAAAGATGGCAAACTAATAAAACCCTATTTAAAAAAAGAATTCTGCTGATAGTTACATAAAATGCAACATTAAAGATTGAAATATTATACTGGCCAATAAAAAAAAAATGATAATGATGATAACAATTTTAATGCAGGAATATGGTCTTGGTGAAAAGCATGTTTAATACTTGCTTGATTTTCCAAAAGGCGCTTTTAATCTGAAAAACAAAACAGAAACAAAAACCCCGATGGGAACGTTTGCTGTTTAAAATTGGAGAGCGCAGAGAGACTCTGGCTGCTAATGCAGCATCCCGGATGTAGGGAGGCAACGTCCAGTCATCGTCCGTCCTGGAAGCCGTCATCCATGCACGCGCAGCTACGTAGGCTGACATCCACCGAGAGGACTGGTGAGGAGGAGGAGGAGGAGGAAGAAGAGGAGGA